ATTACACGTTGCTTGCACCTAGTTCAATATAATAGGACCAAATTGTTTTAAATGATTCCTAATCATATTCTCTGCACAAGGATCGAAATTTGACACGGACGTGTTCAAAGTTTTGTCCATCTGATCTCAACCACACATTATTTTTATGTTGAAAATAACAATATTTATTCTTGATAATCATAGATGCTGTCTTGCAAATTAGGCTCATAACCCTCTGTCGTGAGTCGTGACTTGGACCTCAGATTACTATTTTAACATCGTCCCTAGTCTTTGTCCTGGACTGACTCAAGAATCCACGCCCCTATCAAGAGTAGTCCTGCTCCTTGCATGATGCATCGCCCTTCCCCATATTTTTGCTCATTGTTGTGCTGATTTGACAGGTTAGAAAAAATATCGATTCTATTTTGATACGTTGATTTTGACATGGTGTAGTTCAATTTTTACAAGTTGGGCTCGATTAAACTAGTTTAAAGAAAATTTTGCCTTATTTTAGCCAGTAAAGAATAGGAAGGGCTTTCCTCTTCACGAATCATACTTGAAATACATGCAAAAAATTCCATGTGTAGTTTACAGGACTCGTTTAAACTCAAACTAATCTATGTTACTATGTTAACTTGTGTTAATTGTCACTTATTCTAATCAATATCTCAAGGAGAACATAAAAGTGAATGAAACGACTTATGAGATCCACAATTTTGTTCATTTTAGTCCACACAATTTGTGAGCCCTTTTATAAGAAAAAGCTTCATATTCTTGAGGCACACCTTGAGAAAGTAAGGTGGTACCAAATAAGAGGAGTATCAATCATCAAATTAACATCTTGTACTAATACGAGTGATGATGTGGCCTCCATGTGCGTTGTGTTACTAGGTCCATGTTTGACATCTTTTACTTCAATTTATTTTTAACAATACATTCACACAATAAAATATTTTATACATAAATTCAAAATTTTTCCACTTTTTAATTACACATTCTTCAAAAATACTATTCAAAACAATATTTTTAAAATTTTAAGGATGTCAAACGGGGCTAAGAATGGTAACCTTGACCATAGGATTCCTTGTGCTATGAAGATGGCTCTAAATGTGCTATGAGTGTTGGTTGTCCCTTTCTGTAGCAGCTGTCTGTCCTTGCTCTTTGGGACTCTATTTGCCTTAAATTCAAAGTAACAAAACAACTTGTTGGCACTTGGGACCATATCTAACCAGTCACGCCCACCCCTGCATTTATTAATTATTCGTTCTCACTCCCTGTCTCGTTCATATGTACAACCACAGCAATTTAATTTTTTGTTTACTCGTTTCTCTTCCTTTTCTGACTTTTGTGACCGAGGAATATAACGCTCTCTGAGCTACTAACTATTTTGTTTCTTTTCCACTTTGGTGTTTCGTTTTTGAGCATGTATTTAGATGTGTGCAGGTCGAGGTGAGAGGATGGGGCATCGTTCGTGTATATAATCCAAAGCTTTATTAAATGAAATTCTTATAGCGACGAAGTCTATATTTATCATTGTTGGTGATGCAATCAAAAATCTGCATTGTGAATACGAGGTCGATGACTGGGAATGACCACAAACATGACTTTTGTAACTCGAAAGTGATGACAAAGTTTGAGCACGAATAAAATTTTCATAAACCGAGCTCGATGATAAAGCTTGAGCTATGGATGGGACCTCCAGAACGTGAAAATGTGTGTTCTTGTAATCTCTCTGATGCTTAAGTTAGCGGAAGGA